TTAAATTAATAAAAAAGTTTAACTTTTACACACAATATTTTTGAGGAGGACGATTAATAATATTATATAAGAATGATTTATCATATGATTTAAAAATTTCGGCGCGGTACCGGTTCACATCATATATTTTGTATTTTTTTTTTTCATTTTTATCCCCGCAATACGGACATCTCACCGGTCGAGATATTTTCACAGACTTGCGATATAATATTTTAATATTTTTAATTTCAAGTAAAACAACTGTTTAAATTTTGAAATTGTACATTGTATTACGCACGTGAATGCGGGTGTGTATGTATGTGTATGTGTGTGTGTGTGTGTATTATATATACAAATATATTAAATAGAAAATAATAAGAATAAGTCTCTCAAACTCGGGCCAAAAACATTTTTTTCTTAGCATATAAAATATACTATATTTATAGCATATATTTATATTTAGGACAGCCGATTTGGGGATTGATTGTAACTCCATTATTACAAGACGGTGGGCAATAATATAATGAATACAATATTATTAACCGTCTAGTTTGCTTCCGAATCATAGATGTATGTATAAGCATATATTAATATTATTTTGTTTTTAAATTATAATATATAGGATTAGAAAAAAATAAAAACATTATAATAGATTTGGTGTTTCATTTGTTGGCCGTTCCGCTCTGTATACTGCAGAAATGTATTCCCTCTTTTGGTTCATATATAACATAGACAATATGCAATAGTCAACGATGGCTGCCAAAACGCAAAAAAAAATTGTAGCCAATTAAGTACGCAACGAAAGTAAATATAAAATATTTTTTTTTGTTCAACCTCATAAAGCCTATTACATTTTTCTTAACCGAAAACATACGTAAAACACGAATGCGCAATCATAAAATATATTACACAATTTAAATAAATTAACAGACATTTAAAGATAAATCGTTCAAAGTCGTACGGACAATATACAAACGTGAAAATTTGTTCACTGGGTCGGTTCCGTTACGCGGGTGTCAAATAAAAATTTGTTGGGATGGAGGGGGCGAGCGAGGCAGAGTGCGAGAGACTTGTGTTTTTTAGAGATCATGTATATATATAATAACATAATATGAACATTTTGTTGTTAAATTGTTAAACGTATCATTTTTCTAAAAAAAAAAATAATAATAATAAAAATATTTAAAAAAAAATCAAATTCAAACACACTTATGAAGGGCAATGTAGTTGTGCCGGCAATTGGCTGTGATGTCCGATGGACATGGTCAGCTGCGGCTGTGGATGGTAATAGTAGTACATTCCGTGACCGGCCATCAACCGCCATGACAATTCCGCGATCAGCGATAGCGTCTGATGCCTCTCGTGTATCATCAGGCACACGGTACTCTCTTCAACCACCTGTTTCAGTACGTTTAGGTACTGGAGCTTCATGTATTCTTCTTGAGGCGCGCAAAAGTGATTTTTCAAATAGTTTTCTAATTTGGCACGCTGCTGGTGTATGTCTGAGAAGTCGATGAAGAACCTGGAGCACATATACCGTTCCAACTTCTTGGTGCCGTCACCGTCGTAGTCGGGTGCGTAGTTGCGCAACAACAGGTTGCAGTACTTGAGTAGCCCGCCGCCCCGGATCTCCTCCGGGTTCCTGGTAACAATCAGCTTGTTTTCCAGGTGGAACATGGCATCCCGGAAGTCACCGTACACGGACTCACCGACAACGGTCGGATAAAAGCTCTCGCTTATCGGCACGCCGCTGGAACACTCGTAGAACAACAGCAGCGAGTCGAGCACGATCTGGAACGAGTCAACGCTAAACTCGAACGGCCTCTTCATCCGATCGACGAACTTAAGCTCGACGTTCCGCTGGCCCGGTAACGTTCCCAGCGATATCAGCGACCACCGGTCGCCGTCCTTGTTCACCTTGACCATTTTGCTCACGTATGCCTCCTTGATGCTGCACGGCGTCATTCGTTTGCGGCTGACGCCTTCTGGCAGCAAGTCGACCAGGGCCCGGAGCACGGCCGATTTGACGCGGTCAAAGTCTCGGTTCCCAGACAGGCTGATGTTGAATATCAGGTCCAGGTCGTTATACGGTTGCGTGTCCGTGGTCAGCACGTGTGAGGCCGCCCCACCGTTGAGTCTGATGCTTCGCACCTGAAAGCACGTGTCGTCGGCGTCCGGCGACGGAGCCGCGGACCTTTCGGCCGGGAACGCGACGTCGTCGTCTTCAGGCGCGGCTTGGGCGCGCAGACGGTCGCGCACCATCGCCACCAGGTCACGGAGACGAACCTCGAGCGTGGGGAAATTTCCGCGGCCGTGGATGCTGACTGTCTCGTCCATCACGTCGTTCAGTCGGGCCACCTGTTCGTAGCTCAGGACGGCCAGGCGGCTGAGATCGGTTTGTTGTGCGCGGCCGCCCGCAGTGGTGGCGTTAGTGGTGGCCCCGCGATGGCGGTCGTCGCACGTGGACAACATGGCAGCTGGTCGCACGTGATTTAAGTCAGCTGTCGACACGTTTAAACGTCCGTTCTGTAAAAAAAATATAAACAGAGTTGCGGTTAGCCGAATCGAATAGGAGGTACCTATATATTGATTATGAAATTAATCATATATATGGGTTGAACCCAATTAAAAATAAGGCTTAAGGTAATATATCTTAAAAACAGACAAACTAAGACTTAGAACATTTAAAAAATGTGCAAAAAGTAACAGTGAAAAAAAAGTTTTAAGAAAATTACACTGTTATAATATAATAGGCAATAAATCAAATGAGGAGTGAAGGATTGGCTAGCTCTGTACAAAGAATTGTTTTTTAGATATTATGTAAGACAAATGGAAATATAAAAAAGGAATAGGAATGGCGAAAGTTCCAAGGGACAAGAAAATTGATATTACCAAATATACAGAAAAATCTACTTTATAAGTATTAATAATTTTAGAGAAAAACACAAGATTACTCTCAACCCCTGTGATTAATATCATATAGTTGGCATGGCATTGTACACCCTGACCACATGGTGTTGACTCAAAGGTGAATGGTGGTACGCAATACATATTATAATGGTGTTATACCTATCATGGAAACGGTTGGTTGTTGTTCAAGGGCAAACGAACAAAGGTCGACAGTGTACTATTATAATATATTCTGCCATAAGAAAGGTCGATTTCGAAATCATGTCGACCCGAGTGTCGAGCATGTGCGTTACCATATGTGTCAGTCAAGCCGTTGAGCCTCACACAACACGCACTGGTTTAATAATAATACTGGTGTCGTACAGCGCCGATATCTGCAGGTAATAAGCTAAAAGTTAAGCTTGATACCCAAACCTGACTCTGGAAATTTCATAGTAGATCATAGTTAGCGAATGATACCATGATTACCATAGCCAACCAGAATACGATAAAGCCACACGACTCCACGACAGGCAACGTAGCTGAACTTGACTATACGCGAGTATGCGAAAACACCAATCCGTGTTAGTACTCAGTTCACAAATTTATAAAACAGTTCGTCGTGTTTACGCACGTTGTGTTGACAACGATCGACGTCGAGTCCACGAAAATAGCTTAGCAGCTGTGCACACCCGCTGACGTGTGGCGGCACATGGTTAGTGGCGCGGGTTACCAGCAGTTACGCTACGATGACAGCCGATAGTGACGACCAAATACGCGGAAACTGATGAACGCGATGACGTTACAACCTCAGTAACGTCAACAGTATTTTGAGTTTGCCGGATCGATGGAAAACAATACAAATTTCGATCGGCCCAGTGACGTACAGACCAGTCGAAACGACGGTTGACCCGCGTTCAGACTTGGCAGATTTTCTACCCTTAACGAAAATCATGACGAGTGTCTCCCAACAAATACATCGAAGCGATATCAAAATTACAAGATTATTACATCAAAAGCACATAGGAATTGTGTTTAAAAAAAAATGCAATGTATAATAAACGCGGTAAATTAATTTTGTAAGATAATCAATATAACAATACGCCTAATAATCCATTAATTACTATCGACGTTTACCTACCATATTATTGTTTAAGCTCTAATCTTAGACAATTCGATTTTCAATTTATAAATAACAGATACCTACGAATATTTTATGTAACATTGACGCATATACCAACGCGATTTGGCGAATTTCATAAAATAAATATTTTAATGGAAGAATTACGTCGAAAAATCTGGACCATTGTGCCACCGACCTATAGCGAGCACAATAAGAGTCAAGGACGACAATAATGTAGAATTTTTTTTTTGTCAGTGTGCGAATTGTTGATCTCTAACGATCGTAATACCTATTTACGATTCGTAAATTGAAGTAAACAACCTTATGTTTTGCTAAGTTTTGGGAAAAGGAAATACAACCTAGCACCTGCTAATATACTCACCATAAAAATAGGGTTTTGAATAGATTACCTACCTAAATTAATTAAATTCAAAAAATATATCTATTTTATGTGGCGTATACAAACAAACGATTTTTGAACTGGTTAATGATACAATTATTATCGATGAGACTTCGTCTAATCAAATGTGTTATTTTATGTTTTTGACGTTTCAACGATAGATAGCGGAAAATCACGAAAATACAAAACATGGTAAGGCACTTACGCGCGACCTTCGCATATGGTCCGTAATATTATTATATTATCGCCGTAATCGAATTTCCGGTAACCGATAGTAGAAAACACGAGTGAAAAAAATATCGGCTGTTCTCGATCCGCTTATAAAACGAAACAATATATTGTCCCGCACGACGACCGAAGAGTAAAACAGACGCAGATTAAGTAAAATATTATTATTAAGGAATACGAATTATAAGCCACGAGTTATTATTATTGTTAATAACGAGGTGATAAATCGTACCGAGGAAAGCGAAAAAATGCACGGCGGGCAACGAGGACGAGGTTTTTCCCGAGAGCAGCAGCTGCTCGCATACCGTGGGCGCGGCGGCGACGAACCTTCTGGAACGTTCTACGCGGTGCGTCCGGCGGGGTAGAGGGAAGAGAAAAAGCCCCGCCGGGAACGGTGCAAATTCTCGAAACTTCTACGACGACGACTAGAAACCGCGTGCGCGATATTATTGAGGACGGGTGGATAATGTTATAATAATGTACTATTTATTATTTATTTTAAAATATATTTATGGTAATATAAATCAATCAAACATTCGAGAACAGACGTGAACATAAGAATGGAAAAATAAAAATAAAAATTGCCGTACTTTGAGGTATAGGTCTTTTTCCATCGTATTACTCGGCCCGGCTCTGTGGCGGTGACTACTCCACACGATTTCAACGAAGAGCAGAGTAATTGATCCCACTCTACCTCCTGCACAGGTGCGCAGAGATGAGATGTCTTTAATCGGGCAAATTAATGTAAATTTTGATGAAGGCACCACACGCGGCGGCGGAACACGTAAAAAATACGACTATACGACACGGCAGCGACGGCTACTTGGAGACGAGCGGTCCGGTCCGGTGGGCGCACGCACACGCTACGCAACGATCGGGCACCGCAAACGAAACGGAACTACTGCCGCGGCACGGCCGATCCGCGATCAGTCGTCGCCGGCGACGACCCGCGCTGATCCCCCCACCACCCATCAAAGCACCGACGACAGCGACACCACCGCGCATTCGGTTGGGTTACCGCGCCGTCATCACTACCACCGACTCCGCCAAAGCGTTTGGTATTAACCGTGTGGACCGGTAATTATTGTACGCGAATCTCCGCCGACTTCGGCGACAAAACGCTGCCGGCCACGCGAGTGTTGCCGCGTACGGTCTAAAAATATCGTTCAAAGGGCAAGGCGAAATGGTAGAGCGGCGATGCCAGAAAAAAATAAATACCAGCCGTATAATATCTAATTACTAGATAAGTCTTTCCGCTTTGGACGCTAACGGTAGGCACTGTGTCTAGTGCACAACACTAGCCAACCAACTAGTAGGCAGCAGTAACTACCCATTGTAACGTAGGCTACTGTAGGCTTTGGTTTTGAACGATAGGGTGAGCTGGTGAATAAGGGTTAACGGTTGGAAACTTGACTTTATCCATTTAATCATTTCAAATAGATAATACTCATGATATTATACACAATTATTTTTTTTTTGTATACATTTTTTTAAAGCAAGCTACGACCTCCCACCCATTTACGGATCTTTATAAAAAATAATTATGAAACCACGGTACTAAGAATTCTAGAACTCGCATCTATTGTGATGGTCGATTCTGGCTGGTCGTTTATGGTACCGTGCCGTCGCACTGATTATAAAATATAATTTAAAATAAACGCAATGACTAAAATTTAGTTAGTGTTCTATCATTTTTGTATTATTATTTTTTAAGATTTAAGATATTTTTTCTGTAGTCAGTTGTTTATATAAGCAGTTCTAAATTATTAATTGTAGTAACAAATATATTTATGCAGATTAACCTTTCTACATAATAAAAATACAACTTTTTGAAATGAAAACAAGAAAACAATAAAAATTGTAATATGTACGATCTCAATAATTATAGTTAAAAGTAAATGTTGAACATTAAACTACGTCATAACACAATGTCAATACAATTTTTTTTTTATTGGGTTTTGTATAATTTAGTACAAACAACTTCAATACTTAAGTATACAATTAAATTTTAAATTAAATAAAATACATACTAATTCATTTTTTTACCCTCGAAAGCAAAATATTTAAAAAGTTATAATCACAGATTATTTCAGGGGGATAACACTTTTGTTGTTCCTTGTTACAGCGGTCAATTTAAGTGATATCAGGTCAAGGGTTACACATTTTTATTATTTAAAAAGATACTTTCAACCAACATAATATTGGTATATGTGTATAATTTTTAATAATTTTATCATTGCAGTATTTTTGAACATACATTGCATACGACGGAAAATAAGAGAGAACGGTGACGTAGCATCCAAAATACGGTTCGTTTAATGAAGGAGAAACAAGAATGAAAGGGATGACGAGGAATAGTGGTGGTTTATGTATTCGTTCCCTTTTTTTTTATTATAATCCCAAATGGTCTGACGCCAACGGGAGTAGCGTGGGCGTCAGGCGGTATGACGTCATTTGAACGACGAGAACTACGTCATAGGCAACACTACCATTGAGTCGGGAGCTATATTCCAAAATTCCTTAAAAGTGCATTTGCATCAACTACTTTTTATTTAACTGTTATCCTTTTATACTTAATAATAATTTTAAACTTGATTTACGATGGTTGGTTTAGTTGTATTTCTTGAATAAGTGATATATTATTTTATATTACATCATATTTTGTTGATATTTTTTTTAATTTATACGGCAAAAGCTTTTATTCAAAATAACATGATATGTACGTAAAGAATCTAACATTTGTCTACTTATCTTACTTATACTTACTTTATCTATCATAATATAGCTGCTGTAAAATACATGATTCACAATTACAAGCATAATATTACCTAATAAATAAGATTTCTTCTGTAGCAGTGTAGCTTATGGTATTGTTACGACTAACAT